AGCACGCAGTGCGCGGCGGCGCTGTGCGCGCCGCGCGCCGCGGCGCTGCTTGAGGCGCTCACGCCGAGCGCGACGCCTGCGACGCGCGCGCTGCGGCAGCACCTCGCAGACCTACTGCTGCGCGTCAGCGCGCCGGCCGGTTACATTTGAAAACGCTCGCACTCGTCAACGTACTTGCCGAGCTCCTCGGGCGTCAGCTGCGGGCGGTTCGTGTTCAAGTTCACGATCTCGAGCCGGCTGTTGCCCGGGTCGCAGCGGTCCATGAACGCGCAAGTCTCGTTCAGCCGAATTGGCTTGTCGAGCTTCGTTTCAAAGACAACCAACACGTACGGATACTCGTCGAAGCGCGCGCTGCGTGCCTTCTCGACCGCCTTCGCGGCCCAGTTGAGCCGCGGGTTCAGCGCGATTAGGCTGAAGTTCGTCTCCGCGCAGGCCTTCACCAGGTACACGCCGCTGCCCTCCGCCACCACCGTGCTCACGTGCTGCTCGCGCAGGTAGCGGCGCAACCGCGCGACCGAGCGGTGCTGCGCTACGCGCAGCACCGCGATGAACTGCAGCACCACCGTCAGCAGCAGCACGCCAACGCTGCTCAGCGCCAGCGCTAGCTTGCGCTCCCAGAAGTCCGTCGCCACCGCCAGAAAGCCCAGCGCGACGACGATCGCCGTCGAATACACCGCCGCGAACAGCAGCGAGAGCCACAGCGTCTGCGCCAACTTTAGATCTGCGACCAGCAGCCGCTCGCCGTAGAGACCGCGCAGCCGCTCCGCCTTGCCGTGCGGACGACCCAAACTGTAGCTGCGGCACGCCGCGCGCAACTTACTCAGGCACGAAAAGAATCTTGCTGCTCATGGTCTGTCGAATTTCGAAAGGTCCCACGGCGCAACATTAGTTGCGTTTATTGCGTCTGGCGACAATTAGCGCCGCGAATTTCGCCTTTTTAAATTCGCGAAGATGCAGTACGACTGTCCTTTCTACTTGAACCTCAGCCGCACCAAGAGCACGCTGAAGGAGAACGACCACATGTAGGTGCCGCGCGCACGCGCGTAGCGACTTGCTGCAAAAGGCGCTGCTCGACAAGGCCGCCTACTACGGGTTCGACCAGGCGCTGCAGGCGCACGTCGCCGGCTGCTTCGAAGCTAAGCTGCGCGGCACCGCGGCGCCCGGTGGCGCGACCGTGCGCAACGTGCTCAGCGCCTACACCAACGGCGTCTACAACGAGACCGCGAGCTACGACGTGATCTCTGACTACTACGCGGAGTCGCAGTCCGAGAAGGAACAGCTGCAGGCCGAGTTCAAAAAGCTGTGCCACGGCAAGCGCATCCTGCAAGAGGCGAACGCGGAAGACGCCTCGCTCGAGCAGGTGCGCGCCGCAGTCGCCACGCTGCGCGCAGAGTGCCTCGAAGCCGCGCGGAAAATCGAAGCCGCCGCGGACCTCGCGCCGCCGCAGACCGCCGCCGCGCTCCGCGAAAAGGCGCGCGCGGTCGCCGCGGAAATGCCCGACACTGCGGCGCGCCGGTAAATATTTTTAATTTAAAAAGCCAGCGCGCGAGATGGGCTGCAACTATTCGACGCTGCACAGCGAAAAAGTAGGTGCTGCGCCGCGCGACGCAGACCACTGAAAGCGGCGCGACCGAGCTGTTCGCGTTCGGCGTCGCGGCGATGCAGGGCTGGCGCTCTGCAATGGAAGACGCGCACCTGCTCGATGTGCAGACCGCCGACTCGCCGCTGCAAGCGATCATCGGCGTGTTCGACGGACACGGCGGCGCGCTCGCCAGCAAATTCGCCGCCGCACACTTCAGCGAGACGCTGCGTGCGGCGCTCGCGCGTGACCCGCCCGCCGAACCCGCGCCCGCCCCAGCGGAACTACTGGCGCTGCCGCGCGACGTGCGCGCGCTCGTGCTCTCGCTGCGGAACACCTTTGTCAGCCTCGACCAGCTGCTCGAGCAAGAGTCGAGCCTGCCCGAGCTGCAGCGGCTCGAAGAAGAGAGTCGCGCGAACCTCGCCCCGCCTGCTGCCGACGAAGCCGCCGCGCCGCAAGCTTCCGCGGGCGCCGCGCTGCGCCTCAACAACTTGAACCTCGTGCTCGACTCCTTCGCTGAACTGCAGCCCAAAGTTCGCGGCCCCGCCACGCACGTCGGCTCCACCGCGGTCGTCGTCAGCGTGCTGCGCGGCGCCGACGGCGGCTTCTACCTCGTCACCGCGAACGCCGGCGACTCGCGCGCCGTGCTCGCGCGCCGCGGCTCCGCGCTGCCGCTCTCGCGCGACCACAAACCCGACGGCGGCGCAGAGCACCGCCGCATCCTCAGCGCCGGCGGCACCGTCAGCGCCGGCCGCGTCGACGGCTGTCTCAACCTCAGCCGCTCCGTCGGCGACCTCTTCTACAAAGACCCGCAGCTCCAGCCTGAACAACACAAAATTTCCTGCGTGCCCGAAGTCTCCGTGCTCCCGCTCGCGAAAGGCGACGAGTTCGTCGTCGTCGCGTGCGACGGCATTTGGGACGTAATGTCTAATCAGGACGTCGTAAACTTCGTGCACTCCAACTACGCAGCGCTGGCCGCAGAGGCGCAGGCGGCCGCGCGCGACGGCGCCAAGGGTGACGAGGACGAAGGCCAAGGCGCGAAGCGCGACGACGCCGAGGGCGAGGGCGAGGGCCAAGACCACGGCCACGGCGCTGAGGACGAGCCCGCGATGCTGACCGCCGTCGCCACGCGACTCTGCGACGAGTGCGTCTCGAGCAGCCCCATCGAGACCGCCGGCCTCGGCTGCGACAACATGAGCGTGATCGTATTCAAGCTGCGACCTGCATTTCTCGCCGCGCTGCCCGACGAACCATCCGCACCGCTCGCCTTCTTCGACTTGATCCCCTGATTTTCGCGAAATGCGAAATCTGCTTTTTAATTTATTACAATGCAGAGCGTCAAGAAGTACTTTAGTGAGTCTCGCGCGCGCGCACGCAGAATACCCTAACGTCTCTTTGGGTAGCTGGCCCAAGTTCAAGCCGCACGGCAGCAAAGACAAGACTGCGCGCCGCAAAGCCACCGACGCCGAACCCGAACCCGCCGGCCGCGTCGAACTCGTCTCACACGGCTGCTACGTCGTCGAAAACTTCGCGGACTGCGGAGAAACAATCAAACTCTCCAACGACGCCTACGCGCTCAACCTCTCCGACTCACTGAGCATCCGCAACTGCCGCAACTGCGCCGTCGCTGTCGACGCGAAGATCAACCAAATCACCGTGCAAAACTGCGAAAACGTGCAGATCAGCTTCGCCGGCGTGCTCACCAACTTCGTAATCTACGAGAGCAAGAATCTCGTCGTCAACGTCGGCCGCAGCGCGCCTTGCATCACCGCAGACCACGCTGCCGACATAAAGTTCAACCTCTTCGCCGACACGCTCGCGCACGTCAAGTTCACGCACACGCTCTGCTCGAACCTGCAGATCGTCGAGGTCGGCGACGAGAACGACGAACTGCTCGCCACGCACCGCGTGCCCTTCCAATTCATCTCACAGTTCGAAGACGGCAAGCTCGTCACTGTGCCCAGCGGCATCTTCGACAATGAGCGCTTTTAGCTGCACCGGAACAGCGGAAACGAGAACGAGTGCACATTCGTGCGCACCGCCGCTACCGGCCGCTCCACCGCGAACGCGCCCGCCGCGTTCCGCACGCGCAGCGTCCACTCCGCGCCGGCCACGCCTCGCGCCCGCATCGTCTCCACCGCCCACGCCGCGGTAGTCTGTGTCAGACCCCGCGTCGCCGCCGGCTTTGCCGCAGGCGCCGCGCCGAGAAACCCGTCCGCGCGACTCGCTGCCAAGCACACTGCGCCGTGGTGTCGCCACGCTGCGTTCGCCGCCTGGAATTCGCGCACCACCGCCGCAACTTCTTCCGAGGACGGACCGTCAGCCGGGCACCCGATCTCCAGCTCTGCCGCCACGTCAAACAACCGCGCGTACACTTCGTCCACGAACTGCGCGCTCACGAAGTTCCGCAGCTGCACTAAACAGTGTACGAGCCCAGCGAGCCCGCGCTCCGCACTGCCCAGCGTTGCCAATGAGTAGCAGCTCGCTGTGGGACCCCGCGCCTCACAGCTAACCAGTGCCCAGCTTTGCGGCATCTGCACCAGCGAGCTCTGCGAGTAAAAGTTGAGCACCACGCAGCTCTCTTTCCCGACGCTGTAACGCTCCGTCCTCGGCAGCGCACTTAGATCCATGCGCTGAAACGATGTTCGCGCCGCTGCGCTTACGTCGGAAATTTTTTTTAAACCCGTGTGCATCAGGGGAATACGAAATTCTACGGGCGCCGCGATTGGCTTCGACACCAGTTCCATGCGTTCGAACCGCGCCAAGTGTACTTCGCGCGCCGATTCCACGGAGTACGTTAACTCCACCTTCTTCCGGTACAGCGGCGCGTCGAGCACCAGCGTCTCGTACTCGCCGCCCTCGCCGCACAGCTGCAGTTTGATCTGCTCGTTCAGCCGCAACAGCCGCGGCGCCGCTTCTGCCAGTCGTTGCATCACGAAACTCGCATCTAGGCCGGTCGCCGCGGTCTTGACGATACGCACGTCAAACTCCGCACGCGAACAGAAAAACTCAAGCAAAAGTCGCTGGTCCAGCCCGTACAGCGGCGCGAGGCTCGCCAATTTCAGCAAGTGGCAGCAGTGCTCCAAGCGAATCGTCTGGTACCGACTCAAGATCGCGCCGGAAACTACCACGCGAACTGTTGCGTCGCGCTCTACCACGCTGCGCAGCGCATTGTATAAGTCGTAAACCTCGTCGTCCTCTATCAGCGAAAAGTAGTTGCTGTTGATTTGCCGCGGCTCGTGCTGCACTTCAGCCACTATGCTCCCGCGCAGCGGCAAACACTCGCTTACGATCGCCTGCGCCACTTGCGAGCCCGCGCTCTGGTACATGTACGAGTCGCGCGTCTCGTCTTGGTTTTTTGGGCACCAGTGAATCGCGTATGCGACCTCTACGTTCCACGCTTGCGCCAAATGCGCCGATAAAACGGAGTCCTTGCCGCCGCTTATTAGAGCGACGCCTCTCATGCGCTCTACCCGCCGCAACGAAATTAAAGCTCTCGCAATTTTTAATGGCAATATTGATCGAGGCGCCCTGCGCCTGAGCACTTCCGGTGAATGCTGAGCGTCTACTCCGTGATCAGCCCGCCGCTGTGCAAAGAAGACCGCGCCACGCGCGTTCTGTACTTCCTCAGCGGATTGCTCAAACTCTGCGCCGGCCTGACAATGGTCCTCTACTTTCTGCTTGACGTCTTCAAGCTCAACATCCACGAAACGCGCAGTGCCTCATTCCTGTTCACCTTCGCCAACGTCCTTGTTTGCGCTAGTGGGCTCAGCGACTTCCTGACCGGGTACTTTTGTCCGCTGCGTTGCCAAATTTTCGACTCGAACTCTTGCCTGCGCAAAACGTACGACGCTTCAACCGCCAAGTACCGCAGTAAATTCCAAACCGTGCTCAACCTTTATTGCTGCACGGTTTATTCGTTCATCACAGTGCAGCTCCTGCTCAACGTCAATCTGCTCAAGAGCGCAGCGGCGCAACTGCAGCTAGCCAACTTTCTCGTGGTTCTCGTCGCTTCTGTCCCGCTCGCGCTGCTCTGGCAAAGTCCTTCGTTCAAGCTACACATGCTGCTCGCGATCGGACTTTCCACGCTCAGCGCGATCTCCTTTGGCCTCGCGCGTCAAATGAGAACTGAGGCCCTTGCCGTGTCACAGCTCTACGACACGCTTATCAGGCTTGGTGAAAAATCGAGCAGCGAGCACCTCAAACTGACCTCAGGGCTGCCGTTACATAGGTCACTTAGCGTCGATGTGCGTAACTTCAATTCACTGAATGTCATCATGGCGAGCGGTGTCACCGGACTGCAAATTTTGTTCGCCATCTTTAGCCTCGCAGTCAATGTAAAACGAAGCAAGTACCTACTCTGCATAGAGCTCGTAGCAGCCGGAAGCGCAGCGCTCTTGCTCTCGCTCGGTTACATTACGACGCACGATTTGCGTCTTGCTCGTATCGGAATCTATTGTACTTACGCAGAGCAACGCCCTCTTTTCGCTCTCGACAAAACCGCTGTTGACCGAACCGCGATTCTCGCAGAGCTTGGCAAAGTCAATTCAAACTTTCTCGCTGCTTCCAGCAAAGCCATGAACAAGCTGCTTGAGTCGAGTTGTGCACGAGACAGTTTGTTAAACTATATCTGCTTCTTGCTCAAAGAACATTGGCTGCTGCCTGCGTACGAGCAGCATCTGCTAGTCAGCATGGGCGGCTGCGTCTCCATCGTGGCAGTCACGGGATGTATGTTGATGAACTGTTATCGCTGCACACCAAGAGAGTGGAAGGTCGCGAAAATTATCATCTGAGGCTAGAATCCGAAGTCGCTCGGCTTTCGGTTTGTGTAAATCCACGACACACTTTGCTGAAACTTTAGCTCCTCGATAGCTTCCGTTTTGTGTAAGCTGTCTCGAAACTTCGGGTCTTCTATGAGCATGTTTAAAATGGTCAAAGCTTGCGGAAATTGAACATGAACGACATACTCTTGCCGTTCCCAATACTTCAAATATTCCAAAAATTTTACAAACTGCGGATCTTGAAAATATTGGTTCGTCGCAAGGTAGTGCAAATAGTCAGGGTTCGCTAGACACTGCAGAAACTCCAGCTCGCATTCGAGCCGGTGCTGCTCGTGCGTTATGTCCGAGTCGCCTGAACTGTCCATGCTGAAAAAAGACGGACTACTTGTGAGTGGTTTCGTGTAAGTCCACAACTGCTGCTAGTGTAAGCACTGATATTTCTCCTTAATCTGCTGATATACTGACAACACAGTTTCCTGCAGGTTCGTAGATGAGTTCACAATTATTTCAGACTCACTCGGCTCTTCATATGGATCGTTTATTCCAGTGAACGATTTAATTATTCCTTCGCGAGCTTTTTGATATAATTGTTTTACGTCACGGCTTTCACAGACTTCGAGTGGAGTGGACACGTAAACTTGAATGTAAATCCCGCCCGTTGACTCAATTAAACTACGGTTGAAATCTCTGTCAACTGCATAGGGAGCTATATTCGCAACTATGCATATTCCATTGTGTTTCACAATTTCGTGTGCTACATAACCGATTCGTCTAACGTTAGTTGATCTGTCTTCCTTCGAGAAACCCAAGCCTTTCGAGAGATGACGGCGAATGATATCAGCGTCAAGTACGGAAACATTGCGAGTCTCAGCAACGTGCTCCCGTATGCAAGCTTCGAGGCCTAACGCGAGTGTACTTTTACCGCTACACGGTAGCCCAGTAAAATACACACACAGGCCTCTACTTTTCAGAGACCTTACATGCTGCTGCAGAATGCGACTAACTCTCGGGAAGCTAAACCAAGCAGGAATTTCCTCTCCCTGCTCAAGCAGCTTGCGGAGTTGCGTGCCAGACAGATTAGAAACCTGTGTGCCAGGTGGAATTGAGTCAGCTGTTTTGTAGCCCAACTGGTCTCCGCTGTATACAACGGCTTGAGATGTCACGATCTCAATGCCGACTTCAGCTTTGACCCTATTGAGAAGTTCATGGGCAGCGTACGGATCGTAGAAACTTGAGCCACTTGCTGTTTTGCAGGAAGGCGCTGCGTGATCACGACCAACGATGAAGTGAGTGCAGCCGTAATTTTTACGAATCTGCGCATGAAGTAATGCTTCTCTCGGACCTGCCATTCGCATGGCTAACGGCAGCAAACAAAGAATAGGAGTTTCAGCGTATTCGTCCAAAATAGCTTCATAGCACTTAACACGAGTTACATAATCAATGTCTCCAGGTTGAGTAGGACCAGCGGCCGGAGAAATCATTAATCCAACCTTGCTACCCACATTGTCCCTAACTGATTCAAGAGCAAGTTTCGTTAGTTCGTAATGACTTCGATGCATTGGATTGCGTGTTTGAAACCCAATCAAATATTTCCATCCTCTCTGCTCTTTCAAACTTTTGACTATTGAGGGTGTCATGAAATATCTGTCGAACAAGAACCGAGTTACGCCAGCTTGCCTTTCAAGCTTGCCGGAAAGATAAAAGCACTTATCGTGATTCGCTTTCAGATATCTGCTGAAAGGATGCGTTGGGTTTTGCACATCGTCCTTTAAAACGTGCTTGATTTCCGCGTCAATATCTGGCAAGTAAACCGAAGTGACCGTTAACGATGCCAAAATCGCATTCGTCGTGTCTCTGAGCAAAACTACCTGTGGTTTGGAATTCGGAATGCTCAGTATTTGCACGTTTTCTGCAGGAATTGGCAGTGTAATAGGCACACCCCAAGGGTAATGGTTTTTGAGAGACAAATTTTGCACTACTGATGTATAGTCTTCGAGGTCGTGAAAACTTTCGATTGGAGCTAAGGCTCCATTTAGCAACAGTTCTAAGTCGCATTTGCAGCGTTCATTCAGAGTAACAGATTCAGGCAGCAATGCCCGGTCTGCATACTCAAATAACTTGGAACGACCTTGCATTTATCCAGTGCGTAACGATTGAGAAAAGTTGTAAAACGTGTGCGCTTTTGCAGCGCGCAAACTGGCAAACGCTTGACGTGCACGGAAAACTGGCAAGGCAATCCGCCGTAGCGGGTCCTTTGCAATTCCAGCTTGATGAGGCATGTTGCGGAACAAAAATTGTATAAGTTCTGCTACTGTTGCTTGAGCAGTGCGATGGCATCCACCATGTCTCCTTCACACTGCCTAAAAGCTTTCAGTACCGCTGTGCGATCTTTTCCGGAACTCTTCATTGCGATGACGATTTCTTCCTCATCGAATTCGCTTGACACATTGTCATCAGATTCGCATTTTTTCTGAGCAGCGTGCGGCTGCTGGTTTACAGAGCTGCTCTCCGCGTGCTGATCAACGCAGTCGCAGTGTTTATCTGCTTCAGCCGAGGCGTCAGAAGACGGACATGATTCGGACACTGCGTGCGACTCTTTTCTCGCAACCTGTTGTGCAGCGTTTTGCTGAATGCGTTGGAATAGCTCTTGCTTGCGGCGAATAGCGGACTCATCGGGGGTCAGCTTTCCAATGACCACGAACGTCGGTTTTTTGCCTGGCACTTTAAGCACCACGGGCTGGTTGAATGCAAAATTTGAGGCTTGCGGAAGCTCAATAGCGACTTTGTTGTAGTCGGAGACATAGGTGCAACCCAGTTTGAGCATCTGCTCCAAAGTCTTTCGCTGAACTCGCGAAAGCGAGTTGTATTGCGGGATTTCGTTCGCAGCAGTCATCTGATCAAAGACTGCAAACAGTTTCGATATAAACTAGTTCAAATATGCAGTGTAGAAATTCTGCCTAGTGACAAAACAACTACTCTGAATTTATATAATTTAACTTTAATGCGTGCTCTCGTACTGAGCAGGTAGCGCCGCTGCGTTTTCCGCTAATAAACTGAGCTAAAGTGATGCGGCCATCTATGATCGCGGTGTGCTACCGGGGATTACGCAAGGTTGCAACAGTACACTTTAATGATGACAGCATTGGGCTATGAACACTGATTATAAACGAGTTGTTTCAGAATCAACTGTCTGATTAACGGAAATAATATAGTAAATTAATGAAGGATGATGTTTGCTGCCACTGCAGCACACCGACACAAAGCTATCGGTGCCGCAAGTGTCAGCAACGCATCTGTTCAAGCCGCTGCTCCGCTGCACACGGAGAACAGTGTGCTGCGGTAGCAACGCCTGCTGAGCCGTTAGCGCTCTATGCTGTGACGCCAGACGAGATTCGAACGTTATGCGCGAGCAAGAAGGTTTACGAGCTGCTGATGCACGAAGAGCTTCGCAACATATTGGCTCTGCTCTGCGAACAACCAGGGTTGCTTGCAGCGGCTTTCGAACAGGAGCCGTTTTGCGCTTTTGTTAATGAGCTGATCAATCTATTTCTGTAGCGACTTCTGGAATTTTAGCTTAATATATTAATATGTGATTATTTTTACATGGAGGTTAGTTGTCCCAGAATTAGTGAATTCTCTCAAGAGTCAGCGAGTGATACTTTTAGAGATTCAAGATGCAGCACAGCTAGCGGGGACACTTCCTCACAATCTGCTTCTGAAAGTTTTGGCTCAATTCATCTTAAGTCAATACTTAAATCAGGGCGGTCCTCTGTAAAAACTCACAAAATTGTGAGGTTTGACGAGACGCGCAATAGCGTGTTCGAGGTTCCTAAGCTGCGCTTGCACAAAAAACAGCGTTCGTACAGCGACTATGTAGCGCTAGTGAATAAGGAACATCCGCCAACTGCTGCAGTTTCGAGAAAGGCTGCTGGCGAATGCGCGAAGCACAGCGGCGCGCGCAAATTCGGCGCAAAGCACCGGAAAGCCGCGCGTCGCTTTAAGAAATAGCGCTGCAAAGCCGCGTCACTGTGTGTATCTCTCTATTCGTTGTCAATCATTTTCGGCGCCAGAAAGTATGTAATTTTCCCCATGTGGGGATCGTCGTTGATGTTCAGTTGCAGCTTGAGCGGCTCATTGTTCAGTAAACAAATCGTAACGTTCTCGCTCAGCAGGCAGCCTTTCGTGAAGTGCATCATGTAGCGCGAAGAGAACACTGCGGTGACGTCGGACTTGCACTCCACAATAGCATCGTCATCTGACTTTGCGGCGTTCGGTTGCTGTGCACGAAACAGAATGTGGCCAGATCCAAAGTCGCCGTCGCTGCAAAAGCGCACGCCCTTGGAGTTGATTTCGATCGATATTGTGTCGCTGAATTGAGACAGATCGCTGATGACTTTCACAAAGGCTTTAGACGACAGGTTCACTGTGGCATCGTACTCTGTTGGCGGAATGCCGAGGTTGTCCGCGTCGAAATTCATCAGCCGCAAGTTAAAGTCACTGATTTTACGCTCGCCCGGCGACTCGAAAACGAATGAAATTCGCTCGCTTTCCTTCGCGGGGTCGTGACGCAGAATCACCGCATCGTTTTGGCAACAAAGCTTCATAACCTTCGATACTTGCGTCATGTTTAATCCGAGGCTGTAACGGTTCGAGCACGTGTAGTAGTCGAATGCGCCCTGCAGCAGAGACACGGAAATCAACGCGACGTGCGACGCGTCCATCGCTTGCACGCCAATGCCGCTATCCGAGCACTCAAGGTTTATGTCGTTGAGCATTTCTTTGATTGAGTCGAATAGCTTCCGTAGAAGGATGCCTTGCTGCATCCGCCCTTCGATCATGATGAATCGCGGATTGGCGCTAGCACGATTTTACAATATTTATTTTGTTGCCTGAGGAAAATAACAGCTTTTGATCGTGATACTCTGCTACGTGCATAATTGCAGTAACTGATCATGAAGTCACTTCGTGCGACTCCACGTCTCTGCGTGCTGTATGCCGCGCAATGCGCGGCGAGTTCATCACTATCTGGAATTAAGTCCGCAGTTTCTAACCTTGTCGGGCTGCCGGCGAACACTGCGCTTATCGTAGAACCGATGGGCCCAGCCAACCTACAGCCGCACGAATTCCGCGATCTCGTAAACACCGTCGCACAAACAGTGCGCGAACTCGGTGACGAAGTTCGAGCCAAAAGCACAGAGCGCGCTCGCCGTATGGCATCTGCGGGACTTTCATGGCAGATGGCCGGAGCTCCAGTGGTGACGGCCATTTAAGGGAGGCGGAGCGCAGCTACTAGACTGCCCAGTAACAAGTGAGGTTGGCACGCAGTGACTGCGGACTTTATCTACAGCGACGCGATGCCGAGTCGCGTCTCTTCTTCAGCCAAGTCCTTGACTGGCTTTAAGAAATGACAGTTGTGGTCGATACGAGGCTTATCTGCGAGCTCTGTGCCTTTAATCAGTTCTTTATCCGGCAACTCATTCAAAAATCCGCACAACATGTTCGCGCTATCCCTGTGCAGCTCTTTATAAACGCGTGCTTTTTTCAACACGACGGGCAGATACGAGTTTGGCAGGCATTGCTGCATCTTTTCAAAAGCGGCGAACGTTTGTTTCAGCCAGCGTACACGGCAAAACTGCAACGCTGAGTTTTTTGCGCACAACCACTCTTTGCAGGAGAGAGTATGATCGAACCTCGTCATCACTTTGCCAAATCCCAGCAAGCCATCCGTGTCAGAACTGCCGAAAAAAACGAAAGCGGTTCTGCCACTGTCCAACAGCGCATTGAACTGCTTCGCCAAGTAGTTGGGCATCCCCCAAACGCCGTGGTGCACGGACAGCAGCAGGTTGCTAAAGTGGTCAGACACCAGTAGGACGGGCGTATAGTCCGACTGCGAGCGTGCATAGCTGTCGTGCTCAGAGCTCGCGGCGCTATCTAGAATCGAACTAATGAGTCCGTGCTGTGACCAAAAGCGCTTGCTGCGCGGGATGGCGCTCACTGAGGTCGCAAACTCGCGCCAGAACGCGGATGCCTTGAGCGACGCGTCTTTCGACTGGTCGGGTCTAGAAATCAGTGTACCAAGCACTGAGTTGATGTACCAATCCGGCCGCGGCTCCCTCGGCAGCTTACTCGCAGGAAGCTGCTTATGCACGTTAGGACACGTAGGACCCGCAGCGCAGTAACCCATTAAGTAGCGCACGCACAGCTGTTGGCTGTTCGCAGCTTTAGCTGCGCGCCGCTGCGACCAGAAAGCTCCCGTTGAGACATCGTGCTTAAACAAACAAGTGCCCCATTGGCTGTACAGACAAAAGCTCTGGTTGACCTGCCATTTGCAGATGGGCATGCTGTCCATACGGTAGTGGTGCGCGAAGTTGCAGGACGCTCCGTAAGAGCACACGCCGCTGAGCCAGTCACGGCATACGTTATGGTTGGACGAAACCGAAAAGCGACGGGTTTTCAGTTCGTCTTTCGAATAAATGTTGCTCGGAATATCCATACCATGTCAGGGGCAATATAAATCACGTAATAATTCCGCTATATAATGGTCAATTATTTGCACAGCTGAGTGATTGCCACCTCTGCTGTGCTTCAAGGTTTTTTAAAGTGTGTAAAATGCGGCACTTTGCGGAGTTTTTTATAAGGAGGAAATTGACGGCTAAATTTCTGTTCTATTATGACGGCCAAGGAACTGAACACTATCGGGCTGATTGGAGCAGGTGTCATGGGCTCAGCGCTCGCAATGAACATTGCTTCGCGTAAATTGACGATTTCGCTGTACAATCGTACCTACCAAAAGTCTGTTCACTGCCAAATGATGGCGAAGTCTGAGAATCTCGACATCATGGTCTTCAAGGAGATCGCGGACTTCGTCGCCTCGCTCCGCCGGCCAAGGAAAGTCATCGTGATCGTGTCCAGTGGAACCGCGACAGACGCTGTCGTCGAGAATTTGACGAAGTTGCTGGAGCCTGGTGACATCGTGATTGATGCTGCCAACGAGTTTTACCGGAAGACTGAAGAACGCATGAAATTCGTACACGGCTACGGCTTGCTGTACCTCGGCATGGGCGTCTCCGGCGGCGAGTCTGGCGCACGCTATGGGCCTTCGCTAATGCCGGGCGGCGACCGCGAGGCGTACGACGCAATGGAGCCAATTCTGCAGAAGATAGCTGCTGTGAACGACGTCGGCGTCGAGTGTGTGAAGTATATGGGGGCCGGCGGCGCCGGGCACTTCGTCAAAATGGTGCACAACGGCATCGAATACGGCATCATGGAGGCGATTGCGGAGATTTACGACATCTTGCGCAAGGCGATGAAGTATGACAACAAGCAAATTAGCGACATGTTCAAGTTCTTCAACTCTGGCCGATTGGACTCTTACTTGTGTGAAATTACTTCCTATGTATTGGAGGCGACGAACCCCGACGACCCCAACAGTTACTTAGTAGACGACGTTCTCGACGTGGCTGGCGCGAAGGGCACCGGCATGTGGACTTCGCAAGAATCTTTCAGACTTGGAGTGCCCTGCCCGACGATCTGCGCTGCAGTGGACGCGCGAAACGCCAGCAGCTGCCGTTCTGCGCGGCGCAAGCTCGCTACGAAATACAATGCTATTTGTCGCTCAGATATTGCGAGTCAGGAGCTCACTGCCGAAGACTTTGAGCGTGCGCTCTACGCCTGCTATGTCCTCGCCTTCACGCAAGGCGTGGAACTCATCCGCAAAGCTTCGCTTGAGTACAACTATGACATCAACCTGAGCGACGTGTTTTTGGTGTGGGAGCGCGGCTGTATTTTGCGGGGTCGCATTCTCAAAGCGCTTGGCCCCGTCGTCACGCAGGACTGTATACTGTCCTCCGATTACGTGGTTGATGTATTTCGATCTTCCATCCCTTCACTTAAGGGCATCCTCAAATTGTGTCTTGAGTCCGGCACGGCAGCGCCTGCGCTCAGCTCTACAGCTAACTTGCTGTTTGCCTTGACAGACGAAAACTGTCCAATGAACCTCATTCAGGGCCTACGCGACCACTTTGGCGCGCACACTTTCTTTATGAAGTCTGACGCGTCGAAGCCACTGCACGCAAATTGGGTTCAGTCGAACTGGTGCTAATGCTGCCAGCAAGGCGGCTTCGGCGTCCAACTTTGAGAGCTACCAATCTGGAAACTACTCATATACGCGCTGTGCAGAAATAGACTATTTATGCTCGATATAGATCTATACTTTTGAAATCTTCACTAAAAACTACTTCGTGCACAACAGGTGTTAGTTTTCTAGCTACGCAGTACCGAAAGTACTCACTGTAAACCTGTTTAATTAGTGCAATGGTCATCTGTTTACTAAGGGTGTACAAGTACAGGTCCGTGTTGCTAACACACAGATGGAGATTTTCGTCAGCTTCCTGCTGGTTTACTCCCTCTAAGTAGCCCGAACCTCTACCCCTAAGTCGCAAACGGGACTTTGTTCTCAAAAATATTTCTTTCATGTTTTGCCCTTTGACTCCCAGTATTTTGCTTCTTACGTTGAAACTGTGTTTGGAATCAATGCTGATCTCAAACCTAGCAGTGTACTTATGTGAGTACTCGCACGCTAGCGAGTAATACGTAGAGTGTTTGTTCTCGACGCCGTTGATGAGCACGCAGTCGTTGTTGATCACCAAGGTAATCTTGGTTTTCAAGCCGTAATGCTTTAAAAACGCGATAGTGTCCAATCCGCAGGTTAAAAACAGAATGTGAATGTTGGGCGCTTTGTCGTTGACGACACGCACCAGCTTTGCTACGGAGCTGAGTACTTTGGCGGTGAGTTCTAAATTGAATTCAGTGTTTGTGCACTGGACTCGAATGATGTAATGGTGCATGGCTAAGCCGCTGCAGTGCTTCTTGCGTTTTCGCTGCCGCTTCGACTTCAGCGCTATGTCTTGAGTTGACGCTGCGGCTGGCGTCGCGAAGTCAGTCGGTTCGGCGGACTTAGGGCTCACTCGCACGAAAGCTTCAGCTAGCAGATCTTGCACCGACTCATGACTTTGAGTGGGTGCGGCAAACGTGACGTAACTATCTGACAGTTCCTGTTTGTCGCTAGACATCAACGATTCTGGACTCCTGCAAACCCGCTTGGAGTCGAAAATGGAAGGACAGGAGGAATGTAGTGCGAAATTTGGGAACGTTCGCGGCGATGTTGCTGAAGCAGACTGCGCGCTCGCGACCGAGTAGTCGGCTGTTAATAAAAAATCGGGTTCGAGGGGAGATTCAGTAGTTTGAGTGCCGATGCTGCGGCGGCAAAAAACGCTGGAGCACTTACTGCACTTCATTACGAGCATGTCTTGCTTTGGTTCGCTGGTGTCGAACGGAGGACTGTGCTGGGAACTCCAGTTGTTCGCCAGCGGGTTAGTTCCACCAGAGTTCATGCGAAGCTGTTCCTGAACAGCTTGAAAGTTCTGCAAAGAGTCGGTGGCTGAGGGCTTGCTCTTGAAGAGCTCAGTGCCCATGCCATCTGAAAAAAACGGTCCGATTTCCTTAGAGCGACGTACGTTCGCCTGTGCGGAAAAAGTCGCGGAAGTTGAAAAGCAGCTCGAAGAAAGCGTTTTCAAGCGCGAGTTGCAACTGTGTGGTTGAATGTCGACTTCGCGCTCGGCTTCTCGTTCTACAACGAAAGCGGGCGCAGACGGCATATGCGCAAGAAAACTCTCATCGCTGCGGTAGCAGCATTCTACGCTGTCAGAATCGAACGCTGCCGATTTGCTGAGCTGGTTGCACAAGAGGAGGATGGGCTGAATGTCTTCGTCGGGCGATTCATATGCGCGGCGTTGCGATAAAAGGTTTGCTGCAGTATGGTGTGATTCTACGCTGTTATCGTCTGCAGTCAAAAACCGTCTAATAGCGGCAGACGCAGCGAAGCCATCACCATCACCATCCTCGAGTTGCGGTTCGCGCGACGGCAACGCGAACGGCTCGCGAGCTTCCGACGATTGATCGTTTGCGCGCATGGTGCGTACGAAAAATCTGTGGGACGCAGCTGCGCAGCACAACTCTAACGCAAAAGAGGCTGCATGTTGTGCAGCTTGTTCGATAAACTACTGAGCATTAAAAATAATATTTGCATTATGATTGACATGAGAGACGCGTAAATGTAAACGCATTTCATTTTGTCTGGCGCGGAAAACCGGCATTTTCTCAATGCCAGCAGCTTCTCACACGTGTGTGGGCTGCTTTCTTGCGCACGACACACTAATTTTGTGTTTCCCTTGGTGCGGCTGCGCGCTTCGCGCGTCTACTCAGCTTTTGCGTTTTGCAACTCGCTAGCGTCCTGCGACGCTTCGCGGCTCTGACAGCTGATGGAAGGCGTGCCAGCCTTTGTGGTCTTGCCCGAGACGTTCGCATCCTCCGCGCCAAGCAGCCCGTAGTACGCGTTCGGCGCGTAGAGCCCGTCTTCGTACGGCTTCTCGAGCAGGCGCAGCTTCCAGTTCTGCGCGTTGCCGGCGCCGAGCGCGGCGGCCTGCAGGTAGTTCGCCTGCGAGTAAGGCGCGACCAAGGCTTCGGGGCTTTCGACGGAGCGCAAGTAGCTTTGACTCGCGCTCGTCTGTGGCGTTAGTTCGTCGAGCAGCGGCTTGTACTCTAAGTTGCTAGCGGCCGCTGCTGCGGTGTAGGGGACTTCGTTTGAAGTGGGGAGGTAGTGCGAGTCTGCGACCAAGTAGCTCGCAGGGCTGTAGTTAGATTGCGAGACGGGGTACTGCGCGTTCTTCCTGAAAAAATTGTAGTTGAACGCGTAGGGCGCGACGCGCCCGCAGACGTCGTACGGCGAGTTGTTGCCGTTCTTAAAAATGCCGTCGTACCGCGCGTAGTTCACTGGCTTTGCAGCGTACGCGATGCGGTCGGTTTGGGCGGCACGGAAGCGCTTTTTGCACGCGCCGGAGCGCGTGACGTGTTCGTCCATGTAGACGAAGTTGCGCACGATGCCGGCCTGGATCATTTGGTTGCGGTGTTCGATCGCGAGGCGCCGGCTCTCTTCGTAGCCGTACTTCTTCGCGCTGAAGCCTTTGGTTTTGGTGCTGCGCTTGATCGAGACCGCCTTCTTGGTTTGGCGGTCGAGCACCACTGTTTCCTCGGGCCAGTTCGCACGCCAGAGGTGCCGCATGTTGTCGAAGTAGACGCCGCGGCAGGAGTTGCGCAGCGCGTGGTTGCTGCTCTGCGCGGCCGCGGTGTCGTTCTTCGCGGACAGGGGCTTTGTGCGCTGCGCCGAGTCGGAATAGCAAAGCAGATCGCGGCCCGCGCTGCCCCAGTCCTCAACGTAACCCCAGTAGTTCGAGTTAGCGTTATACATGCGTTTGTTCACACCGGCCGAAGTGATCGAACTAAATAAAATGCTAAAAAGTATTCTGATTATTAATATCGACCGCGGCCGCAGCGCGCCGCGCTACGAGAAGTAGTTTAGGCTGTCTTTTTTCTTTTGCTCGACCTCTTCGACGCCTTTGACGAAATGAACGTGGTTGATGCTTTTCGAGTGACTGCGCAGCGCGCACATGCCAGCCTCGATGCAGCAGGCGCGGATCTGCGAGGCGTTCAGCCCGTCGGTGAGCCGTGCGAGTTCCTCGAAAACCACCGAGCTCTTGTCCACTGCCATTTTTCGGCTGTGGATTTGGAAGATCTTCACGCGCGCGGCTTCGTCGGGCAGCGCGAACTCGATCTTGCGGTCCAGCCGGCCGCTGCGCGTCAGCGCGGGGTCCAGAATGTCCGGCCGGTTGGTCGCGGCGATCAGCTTCACGCGGTCGTTGCTCACGAAGCCGTCAAGCTGGCTGAGCAGCTCGAGCATCGTGCGCTCGACTTCGCGGTCCGCCAGCGAGCCGTCCGAGCTGCGCTTCACGCCAATCGAGTCGATCTCGTCGATGAAGATGATCGCCGGCGCCTTCTGCTTCGCCAGCTCGAACGCGTCGCGCACGATGCGCGCGCCGTCGCCGATGTACATCTGCACCAGCTCAGTGCCCGCGAGTTTCAGAAAGGTCGCCTTGCACTCCGCCGCGCACGCGCGCGCGAGCAGCGTCTTGCCGGTGCCCGGCGGCCCGTATAGCAGCAGCCCTTTCGGCGAGCGGACGCCGAGCGCCTCGAAGAGTTCCGGACGCAGCAGCGGCAGCACGATCGACTCCACGAGCTCCTGCACCTGCTTGTCCAGCCCGCCGATGTCCGCGTAGGAGTCGGTCGGCAGCTCGGTGACTTCCATCGCCTTCGCGCGCGGGTCGAACTCGGTCGGCAGCTTCGAAAGAATCAGGAAGCTGTCGCGGTTCACCGCGACGCGGTCGTTCGGGCGCAGCTCGTCGACCGCGACGAGCCCCACGTGCCGCAGAAACACCTGATGCCGCTGCGAGGTGCGGATGATCACCGACTTCGCGCTGTGCAGGTCGTCGCTGTTCTTCAGCGCGCTCTCGTCTTCAGTCGGCTGCTCGTTTTCAATAATCTCCGCAACGTTCGAGATCAGGTGCGGCAGCTGCGTGTTTTTGCTGATTTTTTGCTCGTTGTCTTCCGCCTCCGCAGAGTCGACCTGCAACTGGTGGTTCAGGTGCGTGATTTCCTGCGTGCGCGGCGGCGCGACTTACTTGCTTCTTGAAGCGCAGTTCATGCGCAATTAGCCCGAGCCGCTGCTTGATGGCGGCCTCCGAGGCGTTGAGCACCTCGCAGTCCTGCAGCAGCTTCAGGTCTTCCGGCGCAAACTCGACGCTCGACATGCGGTGGCGTAGAACTAGAATTAATTTAAATTTCGCCGCGTGGGCGCCGGCGACGCGCTACTTCGACACCGGCTCGCGCGGCGCGTTGCGGCCGGGCCGCTCGC